ATGTGCACTCACCATCAGGGGCGACTCCTTCTGGTTGCATACAAGTTCATGAGAAACTGACTCTACTTCTCGCAGAGTTATTCCCTCAGTAAACATTGTAAACGTGGCTTTATGGTCTTAATCTCTAGTTTCAGGTCTTTTTCAATAGCGCATGATGGTCCAGACAGTCATATAGACCATAAAGCAGGGCGTGCGTTTAGGGCGGGGCTGTCTTGTGACCACAAAGCGCCGTCGCTACGTCACTCGTTCCCATTCCACGTTTGGTAACTTTTAAACAATGGTTGCAAAAGGGAAAAACGACGGCCACAAGGGCTCCCTGCACTGTGTTCAACCGTCTGCTCTTTTCTTATGAAATCCAGTCAGGCGTACCCATGAAGAGCCCAGAGTTTCCCCTACCATTATATCGGGGGGGCTGTGTGGTTTGTATGAAATCAAACCAGTTTGAGCTGCAACTAGGAAGCAGAACAAAGTGCTTCGTTGATGACGTCGGTTTGAATTTGATCTGGCGTTCCCACATCCCCCTCGAGATGGAGCTTCACTGCAGGGCTTCTTCTCCTCACGGGACGGACACACACACACGTCGCTCTGCAGTTTAACCAACTTCACAGGCCAACAGTTTCTCAGCCACTTAATTAAGACCGGAACACTATTCAGTAATTCTAATCACAGTTTCACTGCACTTCCATCGTGGCCAATGAAGGGAATTGCAACGGCTGAAACTATTAATGGAACCGTGGTTGCAGACGTGCTCAGCCCCTAAGAAGGGGACCGGAGAGAGAACCAAGGGTGAGGATCACCGTGCAGCAGGACTGGACTTCTGTTGTCAAAGGGTTCTTCACAGCCACAGAGTGGAAACTGCTCATAGCAATCAGAGTTCCAGTGAGCAAAAGGTTTGAGACAATGTATACAAAGGATGTCCGATGGTTAAGTGCATGACAAAGAGGTGACGATGGTCATCCCATTAACATGGTAAAACATTAAAACAGATATTGATGTATCGTATGTATGTAACGTATCGGGCCGGTACGAGCATTAGCTGGGAATAATGGCTCAAAACAAAGAATTGCTATATTTATTCATTTCAAAACCGAGGTGCCAAAAAGCTAACATTGTTTTACGCTTACGTCTAGGATTAGCTAATAAAGCTAAAATAATACAACTTTTTTAAAGATGACACTTGACATTTCAGTCAGTGTGAAAAGCACCAGCAGAGCATTCCGGTTGGCAAAGTGTACTGAAACAAAGGACCCGAGTGACGAAATGTTTCAACCAGTTTCTCCCACGAAGCTCCTCGTCAGTCTGACATGCTGATTTATGCCACACATGCTTATTTGGATGGAAAATAGTGGAACGCTGTTTAACGAGAAGGTGCACGCGTACATGTGTGCGTGCACGCACATCTTTCCATCCTGGCGGCTCACAACGAAAAACCTCGGGCACCAAGCGAAATTCACTCAACGATAAATAAAGGCACCCGGAGGTGTGGGATCGGCTTTGTGCTGCACCCACAACCCAACCTAGAGTCATAGAGGAGCACACGGCGCCTCATTCCACTGCAGCGTGCATTCATTCATTCATTCATTGCAGTCACAGAAGCACCGAACCGCTGGCTCGTAGCACTGCTGTGCGCCGGCTTCCCTTTGAACACGCGACATCACGCAGACCCACCGGGGCAGATACACACGCATAAACATTGAGGCTCAGCATGATAACACTCACACAAGTGTCACACTCTGTCTCTTTTGGTTTCCATTGGATGTTCTCTCATAAGCCAGCAGGGCCATACAAGGCCTCCTGTGAGCCTCCTGTGTCACATGACTGGGATCTACAGGCCCACGAATATTAGGATATTAGGGCGGGGGCTTTTAATAATCAATTAATTCTTTTAGTTAGTTTGTTTTAATTCAAAAACAGAACTAACCAGGTGAATGCACCTTCCCGTTAAACAGCGTTTTAAAAAACATTCAAAAACAGAACTAAGAAATTTACAGATCAAAACATCTGAAAGACGTTGCTATTTGAACATCCCGGAGCTGTTAAAGTAATAATAAAAAAATATGGACCAACACAAAACACATGTAAGCTTTACAGCTACCAAACATATAGGCTTTTTTAAATTAAAGTGCACAAAAACTCCCAAACTCTCACACTCGCAATCAACTTTTTTTATACTCAAACATTGCGACTTATTGAGCTGCGACACGTTTTACAAAATGTGCCACCATTGACTGAAAGTATTCATAACCCATATATTATAATAGTATAAGGATTAGCCATATCATATTAGTTTATCAAATATTATTCTGAGCCTCTGAAAAGGGGGATGACTGTAAAAACGGCTGCAATACCTTAACTGTTAACTTGTTGTTTTTATTCATTGAATTAAAGCTGCACTGTTCAACAAATGTTAACGGCTTCAGGAAAAATTGCAAAATAAATGTTTGACCGTCCAAATACTTCACTGTATATAGTTTCATAGATCAAGTGAAAACAGCATGACGTTTATTCGTGCCGTTTTCACCAGTGCCATCATTTGATGGTCCATCCACAAACCCGGTCCTGCTGACCCGCATGTCGATGTGTCCTTGGGCAAGACACTTAACCCCGACATGGCTCCTGTGGCTGCGACTACAGTGTGTGGATGTTAGTGACTGATGGGCAGGTGTCACTGTGTGTGGTTCTCCTGTCATCAGTGTATGAACGGGTGTGAATGGGTGAATGTCATGTAGTGTTAAAGCGCTTTGAGTGGTCGGAAGACTAGAAAAGCGCTAAACGAGTACAGTGCATTTACCATTTATTGCTTCAAAACAGCAGCCAGGAAGTCAAACACAAGGTGCTTGATTACTTGATTACAGCTTGATTACAATGTTGACCAGAACAGACAGCTCTTCAAAATATCTTAATACATTTTGCTGTCAAAGTTCACCAGATCTAAAAATGCACACCATCTCCTGGAAGGAGATGGGGCACACCATCTCCTGGAAGGAGATGGTGTGCCCCAGATGCTCCACCCAGGTGCTCCACCCACCAGAGGCTGGAACGCTTCCTCCAACCGTAATTCCAGTCCACAGGAAGTAGCGGCCCAGCGGAGAGACCAGCGGCTCCACATACATACATACATTTTTAATCTGGACAAATAATCATAGTTCCATGAAAGACAAAGTATTTGTGATCCAATCACTCAATGGGATCACTAGAATACTCAAATAGGACACACACACACACCTTGCAGGATACACTGCTAAAACGTTATGCCCTCGGTGTTGTCAACGATTTCCTGTGGTATCAAAAATCTGTGTTTTTTAAAGGCTCTGTATCAAACCCGGATGGTCCAGTGCTGCAGGAGCACAGACAACGGGGCCATCGGGGGCTTCAAGCCCTCTCAGCACCACAACAACTGCACAGCCAGGAAGTAGCCCCTCTCTGCCGAGTGCACAACGACGGCCCCCACAAACGGGAGCCGCGTACATGCAACGGCCGTCAACGCGGCCTTTCGGCGCAACCGGCCGCACGCCACAAAGTCGCGAGAGGGAAGAAAAGACGCGGCGGCTCGACGCACAGATCCTGTTGGAATGAGGACTCGAACTCTCGGACGTTGACCTCTACCGTTGGAGGGGCCACGTATGGCCTGGAGCATGTACGCCTTTGACAACGAAGCCCATCCTGGAGGCTCGAAACCCGACCGAGAGGACGGCCCGCAACCAACTTGAACCCGGGACGCTTTTGAAGAACGGGTCATTAAATAAGAGGCATCGTCCCCTGACAGCAGCAGGGATTCAGCGAAGGACCCAGAGTGTCTTTGCAGTCCGCTTGGAATGTTGGTCACAGCATTTGCGTTGTTCACAGAGGAGGAAGAAAATCTCTTTTATGAGTCTTTCCCTAAATGGTAACTGGACTTCAGAAATTACATTTCTCTTTTAGGTCTAGTTCTTGGTGAGATTGACTTTTTTGAGGTTGGTGGGACACAGTTGCTCAAAGAGCAATACTGAACAGCAATATACCGAATTCCCAGGCCAGGGTCAAACATAGTATATGAAGGTACTTAGGATAGGTGTGTGTGTGTGTGTGTGTGTGTAAAGGTCAGAAAATGAGAAAAGTTACAACGGTTTCCTCATTGCCTCTGCTGCACCTTTTAAGTTTGTGAGAACCAGGACAGAAACAGGAAATGAAATGCTTAGTCGAATGAATTAGACGGCATTTTCTATGTGCACAAACACCCCATGAGACTGATTTCAGAATCCCTTCAGCATTAACGCCCCGTGAGCAATCACACCGGCCGTAAAACAAGCTTAACTGGGCACATCTCGTTACCCAATTTGAGAGCTGGACTTAGACCCGTGTTCCTGCTGTCATTTAAGCTACCTGAGGGAGATATCATATTAGAAATGGACGGACACACATCTGTTTGTCTGCGCTCTGTCAAGCCTTGCAGAAAATCAATGAGCCAGTTAATTCAGTGCAATGGGACACCCGCTGACATCAGTGCTAGAAGAGCTGACCTTGTAGCACATGGCCCACGGCGGCTTGCAAAGCGATCAGTGTCAAGTACTGTTAGCGGCATGATGCTAATGGAACACACTGCTCGGCGCTCGGAACAAGTTCAACTCCAGCCCAAATAAACGCCATTGAGTTACAGCAAGGTGTGACAGGTGTTGGCCACACCACCGTCCTCATTACAACCGTGTTAAAAAAGACAATCTGGGCTTTAATAGGAACGTTCTGTGTAGTTTGATGCCAGAAGCCTGCGGTCGGACACAGGGACGTGCTTTTTCAGGGGGTGAGGGATTAAATAGGTGGACTGGACACCGATTTAGTGCCACGGGCAGCAAGCCCGGCATTTCCAACTTAAAACAATCGATGGATCACAAAGCGTGAAGGCATCAGACTGTCAGAAACGGGGGGCGGAATCAAAGAGCTGATGCGCTCCATCTCGCTGCCATTTCCTAATTAAGAGAGTGACTCATTGCGTTAGCATTCACCAGCCTACATGTTTTGCATACCTACGGCTGGAGCATCATACTCGTCGCCCAGCAGGATTTCCGGGGCGGAGTACGCCAGAGATCCACAACTGGTCGTCAGCTTTTTCCCCGGCTGAAACTTGTTGCTGAATCCAAAGTCGGTGAGCTTGACAAGGCCTTGCTTCTCGAAGAACACCACGTTCTCCGGCTTGAGGTCCCTGTGCACCACATGCAGCCGATGGCAGTAGGAGATGGCGTGGACAATCTGGGCAAAATATTTCTTAGCGAGCTCCTCGTTCAGACCCTCCTCGTGTTTCATGATGTAGTCGAACATATCCCCTCCGTCGCCGAGCTCCAGGATGAGGTAAAGCTTGGTCTGGGTGTCTATCACCTCGTACAGGCGCACAATGTTGGGGTGCTGGACCAGCTTCATGCAGCGGACCTCCTGGAACAGGTGGCCCGTGGCCACGGTGTCCAGCTTGGTCTTGTCGATGACCTTCACCGCCACTTTCTCTCCGGTGAACACGTGGCGCGCCAGCTTGACCACGGCGAAGTGGCCGCGGCCCAGCGTCTTGTCCAGGTCGTACAGGCCGGCGATCTTGCCGTCGTAGCCCCGCTTGAAGCCCGCCATGGCTGGAGAGGGCGACAGGGAGAGGGGAGCCCCCACTGCAGGCGGGGGCGGGTTGGCGGAGTCGTGTGGGTCCAGCTTAGAGCAGTTCATCGACGGCGGGGGGAGAATCCCATGGTTCCAACTTCCTACAGGACAGGAAACAGGTAGTATACATCAACAAACACTGACTGACTCACACAGCTTAAGATATAAAGATAAAACGATACACAGTTCTATGGTTTCATCTCGATTTGAACAACAATAATAACATATATCGACCCACTGGCTTAATCACAGCGAGCACTAATAGTGCACGTTGGCGCATTAAAGCTCCAGACAGAGGAGGAGGAGGAGGGCTTGTTTTGACAGGATGGCTGCTGCCCTGAAGGAGGCTAACGTGTCCTGGCGTACTGCCTCACGCCGCAACAATAAACCGAGTTCCCAAAAATCGCAATAATATGCTTTCTTTAGTCGCGTGCATTGGCAGCTCTTTCGCTACCATGGCGGAGTTTGACAGTCGGGCCCGGCGGTCGCACCGACAACTTAGCGTTAGGCTAACGTTACCGGGGGGCTAGCTCGTTGTTCATTGATTAATACACGTTAGCTTACTAGCCGACTGGCGTGAAGAGCTTCCGGTCCTCCGCGTCAAAATGTCCCCCGCTAATTCACAAACCCAGCTGAGGAATAATCTCCTCGCGAATACAGGTAGCAGCGTAACAGGCGGCTGGCGGTAAGAGTACACGGCGGATTCACGTCACACACGGTTAGCCGTAGTTAGCATGTAGCAGGCTAAAGTTACTGTACCGCTCGCTCAGCTTACCTCTCCAGTTTCGCTCCGGTAGACATAAAGCACACGAGTCCGGTGCCGACCGGGTGCCTTGGCTCCTACGGGTGTTCTCTATTGAAGCTTACCGCAAACTGTCACGGAAGTGACCGCGGCACTCAGAGGGTGCCTATGCCCTGGGTGCGTCTGTAAAACGGGGCATCGCATCGGTGGTAACGGCAGCCCTGGTCGGTATCGTTGCGTCCTCCCAGCCGCGGCGGTGGGGTTGTGGTGTTGCCTTCACGTGCCGAATAAAAATGTCGATGTTTTCAGTACCATCCGAGTTGGCCAGGATAGCCATGGGGACTCGTTGCACACCTGGTTGGCGATTATGTTCACTGTTAAAGGAAATGTAACTTTCACGTTTTTAGTATTGTTAGAATCATTGTTCGTCTTCTCGTTGGACACGTTTGTTAGGTTGCATTCACTTATAAGGAAAACACTCCAGGCTCAGGGTTTTGTACGAGGACCACGGAAAGGCAGCACGAGCATCGCCAGCCGCCTTCAACTCTGACGTCAAACGTTGTCTTTCGATTGGGAAAGGTTGCTGAAGCGATATTGTATTTAAATTAAACAACAATTGGGGCAATATTTGTGTATCATGGTAGGAAACATGGTTTAAATGTGCAATTGATCGATTACCTGTTTGTGAGTTATTGGTCCTCCCAATAAATGGCATGGAGTGGCATCTAGTGGCGGACATTTCACTTGCTTTGAATACCAAAATCAACTTTCTTATAATTGCAATGGAGCCACGAGTTACTGTTGTTATTGTTATTATTGTTATTGACGTTTGTGCTTTTCCAGCTTAAAACTCAAATCAATTAGGTGCTTTCAATTAGTTGTATTTGATGATACAACAAAGGAGAGACAATATGGGCAAAAAAATTGTTTTTCCTGCACTGATTCATGAAGTTATTTACTTCTTTGTCTATTCAGGTCTGTGGATTCATCGAAATTCATCGAATGTAAGCACTGGATAATGCCTCATCGTTTTAGTTAACATAACATTTCCACAAACTGGAACTGCCTTATAAGCAGGTGGATGTGTGTCATTACAGTGTGTGGACTAATCGGGCAGAAAGTAACACCCAGCTACCTTATGTCATTTTTTTACTTTGGGGTTTTAAACGGTCAGAGACAATGTGAAATGAGCTGTCAGTCAAATAGGACTGGGATTGCTGATACATCTTTCTGAATGTTGCAATTGTTTGTGGATCCTGAGTGGCATTAATTGTGTCTTGACATTGCTTTAAATCTAAATTTATTTACGGTTTCCCTTTCTCAGTGCAGACCTGTCGTTTGTTTATAGAGCTATCACAGTACTCTTGAAGGGATGTATTAAAATTCATATTTTTAACCCCTTTTCTGCTTTTATGTCACTTATTCTTGGTAAATATGTATTATTTTATTTATTACATTACATTTCATGTCATTTAACTACGCTTTTATCCAAGCGACCTACAGTAAGTGCATTTCAACCATGAGGATAAAAACCCATTTATCTTTTTAATATCATAATCATTTATAACCAACCATATAACTACTTCTCAACTTGTCAAAGTAGCTAATGATTTGGTTATGATTTTCATAAAACATCACAGGCAGTGTTGCTTTCTAAACTCTAGATGGGAGTATTGCCTCTTATTTGACTCGTCCCCACGCTGCAGCATGGTCACTGATACACTGTTCCCCAAATCCTATTTTATTTCACAAGAGTGTTCATAGAATAAAATCCATCCATCCATCCATTTTCAACCGCTTATCCGGGGTCAGGTCGCGGGGGCAACAGATCCAGCAGGGGACCCCAAACTTACCTTTCCCGGGCCACATCTACCAGCTCTGACTGGGGGATCCCAAGGCGCTCCCAGGCCAGTGCAGAGATATAATCTCTCCACCTAGTCCTGGGTCTTCCCCGAGCTTAATTTATCTTGATCTCTCTGCAGCACGACCTATTCCATTCTGACACATACTGACACATTTGCATTGCGCCCGTTCTGTTTATTCAGCCCATTAATAACTTCAGTAAAAGAAGCTGTTCAATACACAACATGGTCCCAATTCTTAGCTTCAAAAAGTCGTAATGGACTCATAAATAATACTGTAAGTCCCGTGACACCATGGTCTCGTCTTCGAGGCATCAAATTCCAAATATGCCATCAAGTTCCTTGAAATCAGCTTCACAGGAACACAGACAAGGTCACCACACATCTCAATCACGGTTAGCAAAGCTCAGTAACGGCTATATTTCTTGTTCACTGTTCACCCTGCTTTGTTTTATGTAGCAAATTAAGACAACAAGAACAACTTTATTTAATTGCCCAACCCTGATGAAAATGAAAATAGATCTACCTTCAGAATTTAACACCTATGTAATCTAAATCTCAGATAACTAAACAAAAATAAAAACAATAATAAGCACCTCCCTCTCATTTCCCACTCTGCTCCAAACTGTTTTACTGCAGCAAACCTTCAACAGAAAACACCCAGAAATCTCCTTGCTGAATTTATAATTAAGTCCGCTTTCACAGATACTTTCCTTCTGCTCCAGCAGAACAGCTAATTACCATGGCTGCGAGGCAGAGACGTTACCGTACAAAGCAACATTCTTCCGTTTCCTGACTAACTTGTCTTCCTTGGCTTCCTGTCTCACACCGTACACGTTCTTGTGGATTTTATCATGCGTGAGTTTTTTCTTCTATCCATTCCTGATTATTTCTTTTTGGGTTCTCTATTCAGACAGTTCGCCTCCCATGCTGTATGACCCCCTTTGCAAAGAGGGCACTATTGTGATTTCTCAGCCTCCATTTCGTTCATGTCTCCCACATTTACCACATGTGACAGAAGTAAGGGCGGGCTGTGGCGTAGTTGGTTAAGTGGGTTGACCTTTAACCTTGGTCCGAGTGCATGAGCACGACTGGATAATGGATCGAGCAACCGGGTCCAGAGCCCGAGGGCCTCAAGTCTCAGGCGTGAAACTTCTGCTACATTCAATGGTGTTTCTGCTGGCGTTGAACGCCATGCCTCTCCGTGCACACAGCCTTTTGTCCTCGTAGCGTGAGCCGACCATTAAGGTCTGTGACGCCACTCATTACAGTGTGAGGGCCCCTTGATCCTTGGGCCCCCAGCATACACGGGCCACCGGGGTTCTGGTAAACCTGAAAGACCTTAGTCGAGGGTATCAGCCTTATAGGTTTACATAGTTCTTTAAAGGCAGCCTCTTTATGTTGATCACAAAGTATATAAGATTGTACATTTGACCTTAAATCTCACAAAATAATCTTCTCCTTCATATAATTCCTATAAGTAACTCTAATGAAGCTTACTTACATACACTCTGCGTTTCACTCCATCCTCAAAAGATCCTTTTTCCGACTCTCTTGACTTGCACTCGACGACAATCAAGTCATTTTACATATCGATCAGTTTAATCTTTGCTTCTTCCTACTTAACCCATCTTCAAGCAATTTAAGCCGTGTCAATTAAACCCAGGAATCTTCATTCCAACCATGTATCCTATTTGTACTGTTCACTTTCGACTCGATGAATCCACTTGATTTTTTAGTTTCTCTTCTCTAAGGTTGCCCTCTGCTTCAAAATTCGAGATTCTCGACATCTGTCTCCCCTTCATCTCATCCTCCGCTTATTAAGGTCACTCCACCTACTCCAGATATCCACTTTCACTTTCTTTCTTTCACTGAAATAGGGGGCGAATACGGGTGAGTGCCAGAAAATGTAACTTCTCACCATGAAAATAACTTTGTATTAAATGTATTTTGACGTTTGAATATGCAAATTATGCAATATCTAATATTTAAGGTTTATCCAGTCAAAATATAAGGAAGCAAACAGACAGTTATAAAACACCTATAATGTGTTTTTATTTTTTCTTACATTTTTCAAAACAGCCTGAATATCTCAAAAATGATCAGTGCATAAAAAATTTGGTTTTGCTAAAAAAAAAGATCTTTGCCCGCTTCTAGCAGATTAATATGCACAGCAACAAATAACTGTTTAGCGACGATAATGTGGCCATCACCCAGTCTCGTGTTTCATCGCGAGATGTGAGGATGCGGGACTTCCCGTCGGTGGGCGGAGACTGGTCACAGCGGAGAGCAGTCGGTGTCCAGGTGTCTGCGCTGGCCGCGTCTCTCTCCGCCTCTGACGGCTACGCCTCACAGCGCCGCCCGGGTCGCGGTACGCGAGCGACGGAACGCGCCGCGGGTCTGTTGGACTCGGCGTGTCCGCCTCCGTTCTCCTCGCGTTCGCGCTCGGAGTGGTCTTCTCTGCGGGGGGGAGCGAGCTAGCCCCTCAACTGACTTCAAAGACAGAAAGCAACGTTTTTCACTGAGGGCGAAGGTAAGACTCGCCGGACAGATGACGGCTCGTGTTTGTGTCACCGTGTTCGTCTGCACGCGACGCCGTTGGGCGGACTGTCACCGCGCTTCTGCCCTTTGCAGGTGTTGCTCGTCCCGCTGATCCCGGTGCGAGCGGCGCTCCAGCTGATCCGCAGCTCCACTTCAATACGCTCATAGAAGTGCGCGTGGATAGAAATGCCCGATTAAGTATCTGCTGGTGTTCACTTATGATATAGAACGGCATTTATTAGATGAGCGATGTCACTGTAGCCAGAAATAGCCCGTGTTCAGTGACCACATATCGCTTTTCAACGGATATGAATATGTTATTGTTTCATTTAATCTGTAGTACCGTCGCAGATACTAACCCCAAAAGCCACTGGGATCGATCTATTCAATTTAATTCTACATTTAAACTGCAGTTATAATTCCTGTTGCCTTTTTGAGACATTTTTTAAACCACCTTGCTGTTGTACACTTTTTGTTTTATTTCAATAAAAATAAAACTTAATGTACATTAATTGTTTGTTCAGTCAAGTCTGGTGTTCACTACACTGTAAAAAAAACAACTTGCATTTTTTGGCCTAAAACAGTAATTTATGTTGGTAAAAGTGTTCCTGTATCAATAGATAGTTCCAAATACCAATCCTGGTTTCTGAAAGGCCTCCGATCGGTGAGAGCTGGCATCCATCTGACATCATGTTCCAATATCCTTTATGCTCCACAGGAAACAACACTTCCAAAGAGCCAGGAATGGGAGGAAGTCAACTATAAAAACTTCTTAATGTATAACTCTAACCTTGAATGATTGCACTTGTTTGAAGGAGATGTTATGCGTTAGGTTATTAAAGTTATGTTAGGCGATATGAAAAAGGGAATTATTGTCTGTTTCCCCTTTCTTGTTTTTAACGCCTTATTATTAGGTGTTGTAACCGGTTGGGTCGGTGGCTTCCACCAACCAACACTTTAGTTTGTCTGCGCCACACGTGTTGATGCTGACCTCTAGTCGGTGATGATATAAGGAAAGAGTATTTTTTGAGAAAATAAGCTAAATCTATTTTTATCAACCAATATGCGATAACCCCTTTCTTTAATTTACTAAAGTTGCGACTACCACGGAGCCTGTGGCTCTTTGCTTTCGCCAGTGGTTGAACTCCAACACACAAATGAAACGGTGAGAACATTGCGTTTCAGCGGATGCACTTGTGTCCAGTGCGCAGCAGCAACTCGTCACGGTGAGGTTCATCGGAGAACAGCAGCTCCCACTGAACCTGCACAGTCTGATGGAGCAGTAACCGGCTGAGAGGTTTATCTTCAGTTCTCTCTGTTTATGCCAGAATTCCACCGGCGCTGTGAAAACGTAAAGAATTGCACAATGCAGCTTGTGTGATATTCATGGTGCACCGCCTCCCAGACAAGATGCAAACTTCATTTCAAACTGCTGGGTTTATTTAAATCCGCCTTCCCATTCCCGAGGTGTCTGCGCACCACAGCGTGATATTTTGACACCCAATTTTCAAATAATGCGCCCCTGCCGTTTATAAATTACAGAAGGCCATGTTGCATTTTTCATTAATTGGTCAGCCCTAATTTCTACTTTTGTCTGTAGGAATGATTGCCTCTTTTCACCAAGGTGAAAGGCTGATTTGTGCAGGGAAAAAAAGCGTTCGTATCCGCGTGTATCCCCCGTTTGAGTACCCTTGTGTTTTCATGGGGGAAACACAAGGGTCTTGCAGTCTTGTCTCTGATATTCACATATTACCACAACTGCTTAACAGATTTTCAAAATGGGTCACAGCGGTTGCGCTGACACATTTTATTAGTCCTTTAAAAAGCGATCGTGCATTGCTGAAGTGGACATGAACGTCTCTGCAGAGATTTAAATCCTCAAATCAGACAAATATATTGCAGTCTTTCAAAATGACCTCGATGTGGAACAGTGCATCTGTTTAGTGGCTGTTGTCAAATTGTTTTGAAAGTGATGTCCAGTTTTCCTACATTTTGGTGTGTACATGCACAGTGTGGTTTGTCATGTTTTGACACCTATTGGCCTCGTTTCCAACCGTCCAATCCACAGCGTGGTGCCCATAGAAGCGCTGCTCTTTCACCGGAGCAGGTTAACCGGATGCCGGCTCCTCCTCCGGCGCGTCTCTAATGAACGGTAAAACATGCTGCATAGAAACACAGAAACTCTGATGAAGCACAGTTCTTACTTTGCATCTTCCGGCCTCTTCGCCAGAAGATGGTGGACAGAACAAAGATGCTGCACCGGGACAAGCGACACAAAGATGCAGGTTATGCTTCATCTGAAATGTTTCTTTCAAACATGCAACTAGCTAACCCGTACCTACCCTTAACTAGTCACGCCTCTTTTCCTCTGAAGAAAGCTTGAGATTTCTGACTGGCTCCATGTTTGGTCACCATGAGGTATCAGAAGGAAAATGTTGGATTGTTACCCAAATAACAAAACTATCCATTTGGATTTACCTGTGAACCTGGCACTTGGTAATTTTGTGGTATTTTATTGTGTTTATCCAGTTTGGGAATTGGGAACACGTACCGATCGCTGCACGAGAACTTTGGAATACTTCCATTTTCTGCTGAAAGCCACAAAAAGAGGTCAAGACAGTTTGCGTTTCAAAACCTACTAGTAGTTACCTGTCTGTTGATCTTTATGTCCTTTTTATATTAACTGTACTGCTCATTTCTCCAACCTGGTACCAGCTCCAGACAAGCCTCTGTAACGCTTCTCCCTGTGCAGACCTCACGGTAGCCAGCAGGTCTGCATTCGTCGCATGTCTAATTTGGCGCGTCGGACACAGATTTTAACCCGATGCTCACGATCTACTCGCGAATTCCAAGGTAACTCCAAAGCTTCCAAAAACATGTCCATCCAGAACTCAATGTTCTCTTGCCGCCCCGTTGTGTAATGCTGCCTGTGGTCCAGTCCTGAAGTGCCGCAGAGGATGTCCTTCTCCATTTGTTCCCCTTTGTCTGTCTGTCACACACACACACACACACTCCGCTCCATCTTCCGTCCCTCTGGTGAAAAAATTGAGCTCAATGTTGGACGAGTCCGGCCTCCCGTCTGCTGTGTTTCCCCACTGCACTGTGGATGATGTAGAGATGGGCGGCGGCGTTATTTAGTAGCAGGCCGTCAATCGGGCCCTTAATCCGCCTCGGATGGGAAACCACGAGTAGACGGACCTGCCGTGTGTCTTAACACTGTCTGACACTCGCGTCCAGGCATTATGCAGCCGGACCGGCTGGACGGTGGAGCTGCGTGCCCATGTGAGACAACGGGGACGAGACTTGTTTTTGTACGGCCGGATTATGGCTGCCGGGCCATTAGTTCTCCCCTGGTGGAACACTGAGCCCGGAGCCGCCTGATGCGACCGGACAGGCCACGTCTGGCCCGGGATCGCCGGGCCGCAAACGAGTACGTACGGCTCACTGCCGTCCACAGCAGAGCGGCCATCGAGCGGCCGACGGCCCCTTTAAAACAAGATGATATACAAATCCTCTTTTGAAATAAATGTCACGGCGATCCTTAATGATTTGAAAAGGGAAGAGGTGTAAAAAAGGAGGGAAACATGAGGGCCGCGAGGGAATGAACCCAAATGGCGGTGTTCTCTTCTGTATGTGAGCGCAGCTCCGAGGGTCAGCATGCACCGCACAGGAGTTGCTGGAGCATTTATAGACACAAGGACATGCAGTGTGTCCTTTGCCGAGCCAACCTTCATCTTCTACGGTTGAGTTAACCTCCGAGGAGCATTTAATGAGCCCTGAAGCGATATCAGGACTTCTGTCTCGGCCTGCTGCTGGAGGGAGGACGTGGAACTGGATGCAGGAGCAGAAGTCTGAATACATTGGTCCAAAAATGTAATCGTGCCAGCCTGTAACTCCGTTTTTCTTTTCCTCCCAAAGACAAAGACTTTGGCTTCTTTGTCAAACTGTTTGCATTTCTTTTCTATGATTCATGTCCCACACCTCTAGCATAACTCTATCCGTGTGACTCTTTTAAAGGAGCTGTATCGCGCTAATTTCATGCAAACTGTTGGACGTGTAGGTGGACCGCCTCAAGGTCTGTCGGGCAGAAAAATCCCACTGCAGAAGTGATTAGTGGTCATCGAACTGGCCCGGCAGCCCACAGCGGTCCTCTGATCCACGTGTGTGTGTGTGTGTGCACGCTGAATGTAATTTAGTCTGCCTTCGACTACCCACATGTGCATTTGTTAAATATGTTGCAATGAGTTTCCTGTTGGAAGACGACAGTCTTAACAGTCAAATGTTGATGCAACTTGGTTGTGTTGTTCCTGGCTCACACAGCTGCTGTATCTATAGAAACGGCACATCTGGATCCTAGTTTGAGATATTTACTTTGGTGCAGAAAAGCAAATCTTTACACCAGGCTTTGGTGCTTTTAAGTATTGTCGCCTTTAAAGCTCTCTGGTATGTTTTAATATTGATGTTGAATTAAAGGCCTGATTATATCCAGCTCTCTATTGAGGTTCTTTTTAAAAGATGTTTTAACAAAAGTTTGACTAGTTATAAAAGAGGGAAGAGCTGTTAAAGCAAAGATCAAAGTGGAGCTGAAGGCGGACGGAATATTGACACTGGTCCCCGCTCCTAAACCCCAAAAGCTGTGATCAGCTTCCTCCCGTGTGGGTTGAGGTGATGTTCAGTGTGCGGTCAGCTTTCTACAGACAGCGGCTCCGTGTCCCCAATGTCACACACAGGTGTCTCTCTGGGAAACCTCTGTGGCACAGCTGGAGCCACTCCGGGGCCGTAGTGAATGTAAAGGAAATGATGAGGATAATCTTTAGAATCCTTGACATCATTCAGAGTTCGCGATGGCCGAAATACGTGTTATAAAAGAATCAGTCGGGATCCTGGTATTAAAGTCTGCAGGTAAATTCTAATCGGACCTTTTTAAAAAACATCAGAAACACAAATCGGCCGAGAACATTCCAGTTGCTGCGTCTCTAAATATCAGGTTACTGAGTTCAGACACACTATTGCTCTGCAGGGAAAAGAGTCAAACACATTTTGGTTTATTGGGTTTGGTTGTGAAGCGATGGATGGTGATAATGGGAAGAGCTCGTAGCAGCCATCTCGTGGTGGTGCCGGCTGTGGGTGCTGACGGAGGAGGAGACTGGAGAGATGTAGACACAGAAGCAGGGGCTTACTTAATGACACACACACACACGCGCTGATGTAGAATATGCATATGAGACGGGTCCCCAGTGTGGGTGTCGCTCCGGAGATGGCTCTCATCTAACATTTGATTATATTTGGAACCGCTGCGACCTTTCCCTAATTTGCTCATCTCTTCTTCCCGGGCGGGGCCTCGCTCGCTCCCTCGCGCTGCTGACGAGATGCATTTGGATCCAAGGTCACTTTTAAATTGCTACACGGAGGGCAGATTCAGGGAAGCGCTCCAAGCTTCCTCGGGCTCGTTTTAAATCTGCTTGTAGCCGATGCAAATGAGTAGTGTTGCGTGCTGCGGCGTCTTTGACATCTCGCTGGGCTTTGGTCCCCCGGTTCGGGGGGGGGGGGCACGTTGCAGAGGGCATCGCTGCATGCCCCGGCAGGAGACTGCGTGCACGGCCGGCGCCTTGTGGCCCTTTTCCGTCCTTCATGGACTGCAGGAGCTCGCAGGGGAAACCCGCGTAACGTCAGCCTCTTCTTCACGCTTCATTTCCTCTTATTTCGGCTGCCGAGTCAGCTCGGGGGGGGGCGGCGCCGGCGCTGCAGTGTGTGTATTCGGGGCCCCTCCCTGAGACATTTTGTCATGGGCAATAACCCAGAGCTTCTCTCAGGCTCCTTGTGTGATTGCTAATGGAAGTGTGGACACGTCTTCTCCTGGCAGATCTCGCGACCTTAAGATGGAACGATGCCATGTTCTCTGCCCTGCCGCACACGGCGGGTCGTTGGAGGGTCCCGTGTTGGCCGTGAAGATCGGCTCTTTTCAGTGGTCTTTGTGATGGACTGTGGGTGTCCGGCCGGGTGAGTGCGCTGCGTTTCATCACAAGGCTGTTGCGTGTGACGTATTCTTCTCGTTGGGATGTCAGAAATGGCCCAGGGACTCGCAACTAACCGGAGGACAAAAAGAGGGCGAAAGAACCCGTCGGCTGGAGTGCAAACAAAGCAAACGTGTAAATCTCACTGAACAGTAACTGGGGAGACAAACGTAGTGCACGGTGAATGGGAGCATCTCCAAAAGGTCAGCTGAGTGAGTTATGGAATAGTACCGACCTGAGCGGTTCGGCCTTGTGTCAGCATGTCGTCATGTCTACTCGCGTGTCCTGGTTCAGTTTGACCTGGTGTAGGTCACTCGCGTCAGAGAGGGACAGTCCTTCTCCAAATGCCATCTCCTCACTTATTGGATGTCACACTGCAGGCTGTCCCTTTCCTTGTTGGTGGTTCTGAATGGCAGTGTTCCTGATGCCTTTACTAATAATAATAAGATGAAAGGCACAAAGATGAAGGTTGGCTCATTTCTAAAGTCATCTTGGGAAGCAAATGTTTTCACAGCAGCATAACGTGATATTAGGGAGGAATCGAATCGGTGTCTGTATCAGAATTGGTACAAAAAAAAAACCCCAGAGCAGATCCCGGATCAGAGGAAGGGAGCCCTCAGACGGGTATTTAGCATGCCACTGGCCTCGCGCGCGCAGGCAGCTGCTGGCCGTTGGCTGTTGGTTTCATTTAGAGTCTCAATGACTCATTTGTTCCCCTCCATATGCAAATGAGCCACGTTGAAAGCAATGCTGTTGTTCTTTTCCCTGCGCGTCCTCACAGCATAATCCCACTTGACACATCCAGGGAGGCTGGCAGGTGGATGTAAGGTTAGGAAAATGTCTCATTTGTTCACCAAGATGAACAACCACTACTCCCCAACGGTGAGAGCTGAAAGCCGCTGCATTGTTCCGCCGGCGTGACAAGAGCACTTGTTAATTATATCGGTGGTCTCTGCTGTCAGCTGCTTTGTTCGTCAGATAATTACGTTTTCTTTTGTTTTTTAGATTGTTTTTTCTTAACCTTGTGTCCTTTTCTCTCTCCCCACCCATCCTGCTCCACTCTCCCCCCCCCCCATCTCTGGTCACCTCTCTTCTGCCTCCTCTTGCTTCCTCTTTCCCAAGTTGCTGTGCGGCGGCGGATGTCTCGACGCCTCCCTCGGCGGTCGGAGGCCAGCTGGAGACGGGAGTCGGGTCCGTGGCAGCAGTGATGCGGGCTTCGCTGGCGGGCTGCAGGATGAGCGTGGGCGCGCTGCTTAACGGGCTGCTGGTCTCCGTGGTCGCCGCTCTGCTCTGGAAGTATTCCAAGCTGAGTGAGCACGCCGCCCTGCTGGAGGAGGAGCTGCACATGACGCGGCAGTCCCAAGAGCTGTCCCAGGCCCCCATCGACTACCACGTCGCCCTGCAGGCCCTGCAGGAACAGGGCACCCGCATGGTCTGCACCGGCAAGATGCACACCGACCGCGTCTGCCGCTTTGACTACCTCTGCTACTGCTCCGAGGCGGAGGAGTTTGTGTTCTTCCACTCCAACTCCTCGGTCATGTTGCCAAACCTGGGCTCCAGGCGCTTCCAGCCGGCCCTTCTGGACTTGTCGTCAGTAGAGGATCACAACACCCAGTACTTCAACTTCTTAGAGCTCCCGGCCGCTGCTTTGAAGTTCATGCCGAAGCCGGTGTTCGTACCGGATGTGACTCTGATCCTGAACCGGTTTAATCCGGACAACCTAATGCACGTGTTCCACGATGACCTGATCCCGGCCTTCTACACCATGAAGCAGTACTCTGACTTAGATGACGAGGCGCGGTTGGTTTTTATGGAGGGGTGGAGCGAAGGCCCTCACTTTGACCTCTACCGGCTTCTCAGCAGCAAGCAGCCGCTGCTCAAAGAGCAGCTGAGGAACTTTGGGAAGCTCATTTGTTTCACCAAATCTTACGTGGGCCTGTCCAAGATGACCACCTGGTACCAGTACGGTTTTGTCCAGCCGCAGGGGCCCAAGGCCAACATGCTGGTCTCTGGAAATGAGATCCGACAGTTTGCGACGGCTCTGATGGAGAAAATGAACATCACGAGGGTGGAGGAGGTGGAGAAGGATAGAGGTAGTGCCGAGGATGAGAAGGAGAGGAAGGATGATTACGTCGTCGTGTTCAGTCGCTCGGCAACGAGGCTGATACTGAACGAAGCTGAGCTAATCCTGGCGCTGGCCCAGGAGTTCCAGATGAGAGTGGTCACGGTGTCCCTGGAGGATCAGTCCTTCCCCGGTATCGTCCAGGTGATCAGCGGCGCCTCCGTGTTGGTCAGTATGCACGGCGCTCAGCTCATCGCGTCGCTCTTCCTCCCCAGAGGGGCGACCGTGGTGGAGCTGTTCCCCTTTGCTGTGAACCCAGAACAGTACACCCCGTATAAAACCCTGGCCACCCTTCCGGGAATGGACCTTCACTATATCTCCTGGAGGAACACTAAGGAGGAGAACACCATCACCCACCCAGACAGACCCTGGGAGCAGGGGGGCATCGCTCACTTGGAGAAGGAGGAGCAAGAGCGCATACTGGCGAGCCGAGACGTCCCCAGGCACCTGTGCTGCCGCAACCCAGAGTGGCTCTTCCGGATCTACCAGGACACGTTGGTGGACATCCCCTACTTCCTGGAGATCCTTAGAGAGGGCATGAAGACAAAGCCCAGCGGGAAGAAGTCAAAGCCGGCCAGCACAGTCCACCCGGGCCGGGTGAGGGAGCCGCAGTGTCAGACCTCGGTACAAACCACTAACGAGGCTAAACTCACAGTTTCCTGGCAGATCCCATGGAATCTGAAATACCTAAAGGTGAGAGAGGTGAAGTACGAGGTGTGGATCCAGGAGCAGGGAGAGAACACCTACATGCCTTATATCCTTCCCCAGCAGAACTACACGTTTTCAGAAAACATTAAGCCCTTCACCACCTACCTGGTGTGGGTCAGGTGTATCTTCAACAAGAGCCTCCTGGGCCCCTTTGCTGACGTTCTCATGTGTAGGACCTAATGCAAACACCACACCAGTTCAATCAAGCTGGAAGATGGGCGCGTTTGATAACTGTTTGTCCAGTGGAAGTTGGCACATGTGACCTGGCATACCTTTACTGTCCTGCAGTGATGCTCCTCGGCCTGCAGAGACGGCGAGGACCTAGACCCCTGACTCCGACCTCGGCCCTTAATGAACGGAAAGAAAGTGCTTAACCACGTCTTTACCGAAAACAAAAAACAAATCTGGAGATTTATTTATGTGCAAATTATATATAACTTGTTTTTTAGTATTAGTCAAAACACTGTTTCTTTACCTTTTTTTACGCAATGCAATATGACGTTCCTGTGGAGAGCGAGGAGGATTTTAGAATAGCAGGTTTTTTTCTGACTTGTCCAATGTTGAATGTGTGTGACCCCCATGTGGCTGAGTTCACCTCCCAGGTTTTTAATGATATGCTCCATTATTTGCAGAATCTAGCCAGAACCAAAGTTACATTCTTCTGTCATTCATGACCTTCATCACTCCGTCATGTTCTAGATTGCTCATACTTCTAATGTTTGCTAAGATTTCTACCCTTCAAGGTGTTCTCAAGAATGCCTCTTTAATGTAATTGACCCTGAAAGCAAAGCGATGTGCAGTTGCATTTTATGGAGCACTTTGTGACAAAAAAACCTTGTTTCCTAACAAGCCGTTCTTTAAATTGTTCCCTTACATATCATAAATATAACAGCAAGTGTTTGTTTCCACAGGGCCAAGCCACGAATTACTTAACAGCCATTTGACTTCATATATCAATTATTTTTCTCTAATTAGCAGTAATTCCAAGTGTTGTAATTATAATTAGTGTGGGTAGTGAATCCATTACGCCGGCTGTAATTAGTGGAGCATCAGTGTGCTGCCGGACCGTCGGGTCGCGCGGCAGCTTCATTAAGATAACAAAGTGTGTTGCTTCGATTCCACTGTACAACAAATAATTCTCATGAAATTCCCAGCCGAGTCTCTCTTCACTTTCCTCAAAGGTTCTTGTAGCTGCTGAGAAGAATGTTGAACTTTAGTTTTTAACAAGACATCCAAAGTTGTTTTTTGGATGTCTTGTTGCTGCTTGTTAGTTGCTAGACGGAAAAATGTGTTGATTTCTCTTTGTTTCTCTTTGTGATGACACTTGAATTGGAGGTGTTGGTTATTGGGGGGAGGGGGGCCGCAACTGCAAGTTAAACAAAGCCCGGCCATCAACATGGGTGATATTATGCCTTTGATACAGAGGTGTGGTGTTACTTTTTATAGAACCAGCGTGTTCTCACTCCCAACTCAGCAAATATTGGGGGTGAGAACACACGGCAGTAACCTTATGTCTCTTTTTACAAGTCAATCCCAGAACTGACTTTCAGCCAGGAGAACCCTGTTCTCGTCCCGCGTGAAATCAGCTTTGACTTATTTAAACTTGTACGTTTCATAGCTAAAGTACTTATTAAAACCCCAAAAGGGATACAGGGACGAGTTGGGAGCGTGTGGCTATGACCCGATCCTCTACCTCACATCTTCCTCTCGTCGTGTTTGACTGTGTGCCGCCACCGAGAGCATTTTCTCTACCGGACATCTTTAATCCTTTTGCTTTGATGTTCTCAAATGCAGTTGTGTTTCCCAATGCATGTTTTAAAAGATCATTTGAAGCCCTTGTTGTGTGAGCAGGATGTGATGAATTAGACATGGTTTGTATAGTTATTTAGATCTGTGTGTGGAGACGTCGTCTTGTGTGCTAGGTTAAAGGAGCGAGTACAAGCCTCTGTTTTCTACATTAGCAAATAGTTTCTTGTTCAGTAACTGTGATTGAATAAAGAAGCTCTTTTCCTACAGTATCTGCTTTGTTTTTAGTGATTTATTTATATCATTTTAACAATGATTAACCCAAGACCAAATATGGATGATGAAACCCTAGTGCTGTCTTACTACATGACACTTTCTGTGGAGATTTTCCACTGGAGTGAGAGGAAAACATTCAGAATCTTTAAATAATTCTACTGTGCGTAACCACAGATTCTCTGGCTGGATCCAGTCCCAGTAGACTCTCCAGCCCACATGACTGTCGGTACCATCACAGCTCGTGGATGACATACTAACGCTCAGCCAGGAATGTCATTTATGTCTTATATATGTTTAACTTTAATCTCATTTTGTAGTTCTTTAAACTGTGGGTTTAAAGGGCGACTGTGGGTGAGTGGGGAGCACGGTCGTCCTCCAATCAGAGGGTTGTGGGTTCGATCCCAGGCCCGGCTAACCCGCATGTCGTTGTGTCCTTGGGCAAGACACTTAACCCAACATTGCTCCTGTAGCTGCGACTACAGTGTGTGAATGGTAGTTACTGATGGCAGGTGTCACTGTGTGTGGTTCTCCTGTCATCAGTGTGTGAATGGGTGTAAATGGGTGAATGATGTCATGTAGTGTTAAAGCGCTTTGAGTGGTCAGAAGACTAGAAAAGCGCAATACAAGTACAGTCCATTTACCATTTACCATTTAAACAGCAATACTGTGAGAAAGGGGGGAGACTAATCTGTAAAGATATTGAGTCTGTCACACAAATGTTTTAACTCCTAAGATGTAGGAGTTCTATAACATGGAAATACCCACTGAAGAGTATAAAGTACCACTGATGGGAGAGTACAACGCGAGTACCACTGATGGGAGAGTACAACACGAGTACCACTAATGGGAGTGTAAAGTACAAGTACCACTGATGGGAGAGTACAACACGAGTACCACTAATGGGAGTGTAAAGTACAAGTACCACTGATGGGAGAGTACAACGCAAGTACCACTGATGGGAGAGTACAACGCGAGTACCACTGATGGGAGAGTACAACGCGAGTACCACTGATGGGAGAGTACAACGCGAGTACCACTGATGGGAGAGTACAACACGAGTACCACTAATGGGAGTGTAAAGTACAAGTACCACTGATGGGAGAGTACAACGCAAGTACCACTGATGGGAGAGTACAACGCGAGTACCACTGATGGGAGAGTACAACGCGAGTACCACTGATGGGAGAGTACAACGCGAGTACCACTGATGGGAGAGTACAACGCGAGTACCACAGATGGGAGAGTACAACGCGAGTACCACTGATGGGAGAGGACAACGCGAGTACCACTGATGGGAGAGTACAACGCGAGTACAGCGAGAGGACAGGGACCCCACCGCAGCACCCTGGAGACGGACCGCTGTGCAATGGACTGTGTGCGTGTGAGGAGGGTCGTAAAACGCGCGGTGAGGAAGAGGTTAAATCCATCTCATCTGACGCTAAACAAGAAATAATGGTTTCTTTCTTCTCGCAAGCAACGGAAAGAGAAAGTCCCTCATTTCCCTTTGCGGACATCGGGTTCCTGAATAACTCCCCGGAGTAGATTCATCATCATTACATTAAATCAGCCATGGCCTCCATCAGTGGTTCGTTTGCCTCAGTGTTAACTCAGCGGGAGCCGCAACAGGCTGTGAATTCTACACGCAAACAAACAGAGAAAATAACAACGACAACACACACTGAATAATTCTTTTGTGTACACTGGGGCGAACAGTGCCACCAAAAGGGATCATATTTTAATATACAGCATAGTGTGTAATTCACAGAGACACTTTTAATCCCCTAGGGGTCGTGGGAGAATGTCTTTCTTGTTTCTTTTCTGTGAATATCTGTGCATTTTCCGAGTGAGGCTGCTGAATCCCTTAATCGAATCTCCTTTCATCGGGCTTTCGTGGCGCGTGAGTGGATTCTGCACATCAGACATTCATCACACTTCTGACCCTGCAGGCTTCCCGTGGGCCAGAGGAGAGAAGGGAAACAAATAGGAAACACGGTATGTGCAACAACGCGTTTAGCTTCGCTTTAAAATGTAACGGTGGAGAGATGAAGCCCTCTCCGATTCGATGCAGACATCCTCCCTGCCATCAGATCGGGACTACTTCATATTGTCATTACATGCAGTTTTAATTATTGTCCCTTCCATGTGTCTGGGTAAAAAAAAAATTAAAGATAGTCTGCTATGTAGGGGGGGCTTTGATCTTCCTATATTATCAATGGGGGTTTGGGAACCACTAGCTTATGCTATGAACTTGAAAACACCCTATAAACCATAAAAACATTTTTTTGTGTGCAAAAGATTGTCCTAATTGCCCGTGTGTTAATTTATATGTCAATTCATATTTTAATTGTTTCATCTCATTCTGATCCTCAGGCAAAGACTGTATGTCAGACGTGGACGTACGGACATCTGAACCGCGGAGGAGTGGGTGAGGACCGCCCTAAAGCGTACCCTGCTTCATGGTCTATTTGACTCTAGATGGACCATCATTGACTAAATAAACATCATGCCGTGTTGAAGTAGACTTGAAACCAGAGATTGAGATCAAAAACTCATGTTTACAATGTTTACTGAGGGAATGAACCAAGAGAGAAGTAAAGTCCTTTCCTCATAGACTATCCTATCAGTACTGTGTGCAAAAAGTAGAGGCTGCTTGATGCTGTTGGTCGGAATGTCCACCGGCGTCCATTTGTTTCTATCCCCTCCAGCCGACACGCAGTCCTCGCCTCATACTAAACTGTCCCCTCCAGCCGACCGGATACCAGCAGGAGGGTCATTTGACCTTTCACCAACATCACAGCAGCTCCTGTGTCCACCACACTGCTGATAATCTCCCCCCCGTTCATTTAGATCAAATCTACACATGCATGCAAGTGGCTGCGACGACCAACTGCACGCAGGCGGTTGCAGGTCGTGAGCTTCCAGGTGGATCATTCCAGCCAGCTTGGTATTCTGACGAAGGGAGTCTGGACTCACTAATAGGATTCTGGGTTTTTCTTCTCTCCGAGACAACGTGAGCAATGGGGAGGTTAATCTGTATGTGTTTGAAGTCAGGTCTGCGCCTCATTGACTTTCTTCACCTTCCCTTGGCTCTGTCTCCATTGCGCGCACACACACACACACACACACACATCGGTGCTTTGAACTGTGACTAAAGCTTTCTCTGCGTCTCTGTCTTTGATCCTTGTTAAAAGGTTAAGGTGACTGCAGGGATTGGGCAGAGCGGGGAGTGCGTGAAGTTTCACCAAAGTTTTCACCTCGGATGATGACGCACACAAAGGAGAAGGTGGTGTGACCCTCTGGCGTTCCCATCTAATGGAACTCCTCTGTTAGGTGGATGCGCGGCTCGGCGCCCAGAGGGAGGACATCACGCCACCGTCATGGACGCCGATCATCTCCTGGTCATGAACAGTCGTCTCATGGTGCTTCCCCGCTTCAGATGAGGCCCTAACAGCATCTCCACGAAGACTCGTAGGAAACTGTGCCCCCCCCCCCCCCCCCCCCTCCCCATGGTTCGAGCAAACTTCCGCTGCTTTGCTAAATGTCGAGAGAAGATGAAGCAGGTTTTCCGTTAGAATCTGACTGGGAGCTCAGGCTGTCGTTGTGATGTCGGCCATGGCACATGGCAGATGGAGACGGGTTTGGCATTAGCATAATTTTCCCACCGACCGTTTTCTCGCAAATTCCTGCGTGGGAACGAGAAGACACACAGATTCTGGAGCTCATTACACTGTGGCAGCGTACACCAGTGTGTGTACGTCTGTGCGAGAGTGACTTATTACGGCGATGCACTGCTCATCATTGTTATAGCGGTGCACATTAGGCAGGGGAGCCTTGTGCTTAACGAGACGAGGCTTTTCATCGAGCTTCAGCATCCCCTCGTCATGGCAACGCTCTGCTGATCCTTTCACCTCTTCCCATTGTTTTATTTCTGCTGCCGCAGCCTCTCGGTCCGTCGGGTTCTCGCTGTTTCTTCCCCAACGTCATTGAGCCACCGCTTTTCCTCTCGCGTAATTCTTTTCTCTGCCCTTTTTTCCCGCAATCCATCCGGTCTGAGGCTTCTCCATCCCTCCCTACGTCGTACCCTGTGACCCGGAGGAGCCAGTACAGAGACATCAGCATAAATAACATATGAGGTGGTGTAGTATTACCACATACTCACACACACACCATTGGCCTCTCCACAGTCTTCCATCAGGAGCAGGGGAATACAATACAACGGTTCCCTGGGGAGGATGTTCATGTTTCCCTTAAAGGAGAAAAACAATTGAGAAGACAACGAATGAATTGAAAGAGAAATGTAGATAGTTATGAGTAGAACGTGCAGATAGTAAATACATCTGTATTACCTCTTTATGACACCTGGATATAAATGAGAACTTGCTGAAAAATGTATGGGGAAATTAGCTGTCTGCGCATTAATATTTGAATAAATACCAGATTTACAATAGCTTTCTGTGAGGCCAGCTGTGAGGCAGCCATGAATATTTCACCATAATGAACGCCCTGTTGGAGGAGAAAGGCCTGAACTCTGTGAATATTTTACGAAATGGATCTAAACTACTCTCTGAAAGATTGGATTACCTAACTCGAACATCACAATGTGCTTGATGTTTTGACCCGCGGAAAAGAGATTAAAAAAAAGGGGAGACATCATTTTCATTCCAAATATGAAACATTGCTGTTGAAATAATGACGGTTTCCCTGCAGTTTCTCTGGTTTCCTCCCACAGTGGTGACAGACATGCTGCCTTAGTTAATGGATTGCTCTCAACGCCCTGTGATCAGTGCTTTGCTCAGGCCGACATGTCGTTGAGAGTCGGGACCCGTCGACAGCTTCTTTCACTTACATTTGAAAAAAGCCCCCATCATGTTTTGCAGAGGCCATAATGAGCGCTGCAAACATGTTTACCTCCGAACAGTAATTGGTTTCCATGAACATGTTTTCCCTGTATATACTGTCCATTTATAATCTATCATAACATTGTAGCAATGGGACT